TTTCAAAACAAACGGATGGCGATGAATATGAATCAACAATTACCGTGTTTGCGTTCTAAGAGTATGAATGGCTTTCACTTTTTTTATTCACATCACGTATTGAATCTTGTATAATCTTTGAATGATTTTAACTTTCTGGTTAAGAGTATATATAACGAGAATGTTTTTTTCTGTTTTTGTAACGTAAAAAATATAAAAGTATTTGTCTTTGACCAAGGAAATCTAGAAAATATCTCATTAAAATAAACGCTATACGTTATTGCAAGCCATGTTTACAATTCAGTCTGTTTTAAATATATTTTGTATTTGATACTTATGTAAGGAAGGTGACTTCACCCAAATGCTTGACAAGAAACCGAGTTTAGGATTATAAATTAAGAGCCCAGTGTCCAACGATTCTCACTAGATGAATCAGCAACAAACGACAAGTTTGCTCGTCACTCCGCCACTTGTCCGATTGAATGTTTCAACACCGTGTGACACTTGCCCAAAAGAAGATGCTATAGCAACAACACTCGCAATAGGACACTTTCTAAGGCCACCATGTTTTGGATTAATTGAGAGCACTGTTCAGTAAGTCGACACATTGTAAAATGTTATGAAACTATAACAAAATATCCGGGTACATGTGATATATATTTTATTCAGATCGTTTGAAAAGATGCTGTGATATATCAAGACATGATATATCAGTTATGTATGCATGTATTGACATTCACACGATGGAGTCAAGAAAATCCGGTCACATGGGGGATAATGAGATGAAGCTATTCTGTTCGTAAGGACCTGTACCGTTTGCGTAAACAAAAGTAACAAAATGTCATTGAAAAAGAACACTTCTACAGCTTCGAACGTGGTCGTTTTTGAAGTGTTCTTAACGTTCGAAATAAGGTTTGTATATGGCAAAATGTTGGATTATATTGAGCATGAAGAGAAAATATCAAAAAACGATACAAGGTCTTACGAATCTGATAGGGAGAAAAACAATGAGAATATGCATGCGGCCGGATGCTGCCATTTTGATTCTTATATCATTCATTTAAACATGAGCAAACTGTATCCTTCCCATATCCGGTTTGTCAATGATAATGTCATGATATTTCAAAAACTTATGCATCATACTTGAAAATGGAGATTTTGCTAGCTAAACATGATACAGAGTAAGAATGATGGAACAAAGGTGAAATATTTTATACTCAGTTCTTTTAAAGTGACTTGGTAAAATATATATTTAGGTGCATTTCATGTGATCAAATGATAGGATTATGGTACTTTACTACGATTTATGACAGCATTTGACGTTAATGTCACAGTCTCCGCCTGTTAGTGTCCGGAGTATTAAACAAAGTGACTCATTACATCGACACCACAAATATAATTTGTTGTCAATGATGTTGAAGTCAGGAAAGATGTGAATTCATGCAGGTTTCAATTGTAAAAATAGTCTTAGAATTTCATGTGATATTAGATAATGAAAGGAAAGAATGCACTTTTGTTAACATACATGTATGAATAAACTATAACAAATACATTGTATCTCTTCATCAACACGATAAGAAGGGTTAATATACACAGGTTATTGTACACATACATATACAGTTTACTTTGTAAATTTATTAAACGAAGACAATTTACTATTCTAACTACATCCCACAATAATCCTGTAACATCCGAAAAGTTCTGATGTCTTTATGAGATACGAACATTAAGCAACACATATGCAGATTCAAATACAATTTGAAGCACTAGAAATAGAAACACCCTTTTGTAGCAAAATATCGTTGCAACTACACATTGTATTATTTGCACAGATATAAAATGCAAATCTATTAGCTGCTGTATTTTAAAAACAGTTCTAAGGCTACATAACGCATCAATGTTATTCCTATAACTTTACTCTTCCTTATCCAAATTAGATCGAAGTTTTGTTTATTCATTATGGAAGTAAATGTGTGAAATTAACTTTCACTGCTTGCAACTAAAATAAGTTTGGAACGAACCTGAAATATTTGTCAAAATTTTAACTTACAAGGCATATGATTGTCAATTTTTTTTTATCAAATTGATCATGCATATTTGGACTTGACGTGTTATGACGGAACGCATCAGGACGGGTGACGTTATATTGGTTTTACCTCCAATTCTTAGAATGGTTTGTAATTTTGTCTAAATGTCACCTTATTGTATTGTATTGTGTGTCGGCGTTGACTGCTGTTCTTTCGTATAAACAACGATGTTAAACTACTTCCAATTTTGCTTCAAGAAATAATTATAAAAAACATCTTATTATTCTTTTGTATAATTCACCAGAAACAGAACAAAAGAAAAATTATGACATTATGATTACCAACAAAATACGGAGGACAAACATGTAATGATGTCCTATCCAATCGCCAAAAAATTGTTACAAAGTAAAATATTATTTAGGATGACCGACAATGATATTCTTTTATCAAATTTGGGAATTGAACAGATTAAGGGAAAGAAATATTCTTATACTATGTAAACCAAAATAGCTTTAAGAAATGTGGTTTTAAAATTATGAATGAAGCAAATCCAATTTATAATGCTCTATCTGATAAAAATGAATTTGAGAATGTATGATACAACCAAAATTTCTAAATTTAAACATTTTAATTGTTAAACTTATTCCCGATTCAAACGTTTTCTGGACATTGATTTTTGAGGACGAGTTATGTCCCCTGATATTCATTTTGTAACTGTTTGCAAACATATGAAAATAGAAATAAAGCAAGATTAGCAATAAGTTTATATGAATTCTTTCTATTTAATTTATATATACTGACGATGACATATCTTAATATGCATACTCCAAGCTACATTGGGTAGACGAAAAGACCATTAAACAAAAATGTTAATTTTAATTAGACTAAACAGCTTCCATACAATATGGGTTTCATAAAATCCGTCGACAAAAAGTATTTTGACATTGAATTTTATGGAAAACAGCAGTGCTCTTATATTTCAATAAGCATCTATTCTAAGTTTACAAAGAAATGTTGTACCGTGTTGCTAGAATCAATCAACAGCAGACTCTGAATTCAACCTTAGGCCACACTCTTCCGACATTTAAAATTACGACACAAAAGCAAATATTTGATTACTACTTCTAAGCTGAAGTAACCAGTTTCTAAGAACTTGATATAAGTTGACAGAGACTCTATGTTTACGCCGTTTTCGTCCTGCAAATATTACAAAAACAATAATATATGATTGTGGGACAGATTAAATTTAGGAACACCGTAAAAATTATGATTGTAATTCTATTTAATATACAGCGGTTTATATACAATCTATACATTGGCATAAGGGGTTATATTCTTCCACTCTCTAGAAATGGCAAGACATAAACACCGAAAAAACATAAATGTATTAAAACCTCACACATATTTAATTGAAATCGTGGACAAATATTTACAAAGACAAACAAAAGTCTATATACAGTATTTCGTTTCCAATGGACCAACCTTTGTATATTTTTTACACCAACAAGGTAAACAATAAAACAATGAATTTACATCGATGAAAGTGATTCAATATATATATATATATATATATATATGTATATTATATCTATGTACATGAAAGTATATGGTAATAAATCTTGTTATGACTAATTTTACAAACGAGGTGGACATTTCACTTTAATTAAAAAAAAGATAAATTTAAACTTAGCATATGTGTAATTCCTTATTGATATTATTATAACAATACTGGCTTTGATTTTTACGTTTATGACTGAAATTAATCATTCCATTCTTAAGATAAATCATTTACGATACTACAGACATCATTTGTTTATATCTGGAATTATTAAACTTATTTTTAATATTTCTGAGTCAGAATGGTTGCTAAGTTATCGAATTTTGTTAGAACTTGTCCCTCTTAGCAATCGCACCAAAACGTTATGACAATAATGTACTCAGTATAACTCATTAACGATAATACAGACACATTTTGAACATATCAGCAATTGTGGTTAGGCATACTTTGACTATTTCTGAATCAGACTCGTCGCTTAGTTATCTAATTTCGCATCAAAACGTCATGAGCTCAAATTATCATAACTTTTGACGTCACAAGAAATTATTTCATTTGAACCCACTTCACAAGGATGTCATTGATTGACGCATCACATACTATTTAGGGATGTTACAATTCTAGGAAATGACACTGATAAGGTCGTAAGTCACGTGGTACGTAGGAATCCCTATCACAGCTGCTCGTGCTCCCTCATGTTACAACATGTAGTAGCATGTTATCTATCTATAGCACAGAGGTTTCAGGAGAAATCATTTGTTCAATTATCGATAAGCGAGCTTGATTACAAATAGCAATTGTACCAGGGTCCATAATCATGAAACCGTTCTCATGCTCAAGCATGGATTCTGTGATCAAACCAGTATTTTTGTTTCACACTTAAATCATACCAAATTATCTTTTAGTCAAATGTAAACATCGAAAACAGAATTCGGCTCTACGTCTCAAAATAAGTTTTTCTTTCCATCTTAAACCAGATCAATAAATTAGGATTTAGCATAAAAACCATGCTTGAGCATGGGAACGGTTTCATGAATATGGGCCCAAGCATAGGAGTTCAAAAAGTCATTTAAAACATCGATATCAGGTGGATTATAAGTCGACTGTCTTTATAGACAAAGTCATACTTACAAATGTACGTACACTGTAATATCTGCATGTTCTTTTGAGACCGTTACGCGACTACTTCTCATGAAGGTGTTATATCAGTTATTGTTCGTGTTAATGTCGGAGTTGAACCTGATAGGGTATTTATTATAGTTTCATGATCGTTGTCGTAGTATGATAAACCAAAATCAATCTGATATATTTTCATTCTGAACCAAGATTTCATCAACTGCATAGACAATAGATGTAGTTCTCAACGTTCATCTTAAATTTTATCTACAGTAACACAATGCCATCCTGTATTTTGTGTGAACAACTTTTATTTTGTTGTATTTTCATACCTTTTTAATACATAGTCTTGATGAATTAATATCCACTTCAGACCATTCAGTATTTTTTGTGTTTTGCATAATTATTTGAAGAACAGAAACTGTCACATCTATGTCTATTACGTGCACATAAACTTAACGTTCTCAGTTATCAGTTGTTGGGAAAATTTATAGGGACATTAAGTGTATGTACGGTATTAAAGATTAGAGATATTTCATGGGGATATGGTTTTGAACACATGTTACGATAATCCGTTAACAACGTTTTTCTTTGACAACCTATACAGCATGTTTTTAATAATATTTAAATCATTGTGTGTTCCTGAACGACACTATCGATACTATCTATTTTTCATTATTGACAACATTAATGGTTCCACACATATTATCTATACATTTTCCCTAATCTCCCACACCGTCTGCAAATAATACGAATGTAGCTATACATTTACGCTAATACTCCGATTTTCATTGTGTAACGATTAAAGACACAACATTTTAAAAGACCTTTTTCAATTAAGGAAATATCGAATCAGAACGATGTAAAACGAGTATCATTGACTTGGATTACTCCTCAAAGAATCGATAACTTAAAGACCACACTGCCGACACTTGTCTTGACCACATAAAGTGTATTTGGCCGGTAGATGCCAAAAGCAACAATGTATGTCATCTGAAGTCATAGGAATAAGTTCATGCAAGGTTGCTGGTAAGGTATTGGAACGACCGGCTCCTACACAGCGTTTGACAGTTGTTTACCTGGGGAAGAACATACAGAGAGCGTCACCACCTCATATAATCCCTTGGTGTCTCTCGTCAAGCTGTGCAATTCTCATTTCGAGTTTGTTCTTTTCCTTGAGCGCCCTGTCGAGTCTGTCCCCAAGGTCAATCTCTGAAGTTTTCCACATTAACAATAAATCATCCTTAGAAATTTCTTCATATTTCACTGGCAACACATCTGACTTCCGCCTCGAATTAAGTTCGTGCCACGTTTTCCGCTTTCGATGATTTTGTCTTTTGTTTTCATTGAAAGAAGAAGCAGTTCGTTGGCGATATTCCCTGTTTTCTGAATCAATAGTTATATTTTCTGTTCTTGAATAGTTATCAACGGATTCATTATGGTCCAACGACAACTGTCTCGGTACGTGACCATTGGGAATAGGGTGGGAGTCAATTTGTACCGGTAAATAAGGGCTGGGCATGAGCAACTCAGTTTGTTCTGTTATAGAATCATCACTATCTGAACTTGTGTCCTCTTCGTCACCGACATCCGGACTTCTTTCCATCCGGTTAACTTCCGGTATGGAAATACATCTACCGAGATTCTCTGAACTACGGTGTTTCTCTAAGTCACCTGTTTTGTACGAACAAACGTCTTTCGGATGAGGAGGAGTTAAAAACCAATCACCTTCGTCGTTACGGTTTTCATCACAGGATTCGTCTATATCCCCGTCATTGCCACTCTGTACTTCGCTTTCATAGATCTGACTTTTTAGGGCACTGAAATCGATTTTAGTGCCTACGTCTTTGAGAGAGATTTCAGTAATACAAGGCGGGGCTGCTACAGGGGAATCTTCGTCACCGAAAAGTTTGTCTTCTCGCATCTGCTGCATCCTATACAAACAGAATGATAACTTTGAGTAGATATGCTAAATACAAAAATACAAACAATACCGTTTGATAACACGAAAGAATGTGTCAATTCCGAATACACACCAATCAAATGAAATTTAGTCAGTACAGTGTAATCATACAAATCGATAAATAAATCTAAGTTCCCTTTCATTAATTGTGTTGCTTGTCTTCCTGTTCGACTCTTAAAGTAAATGATAACTGGCACGGATTGATATTAGGTTCCATCAATAATCAGCAGGTTGCCAAATAAGATGACAGCATACATATTTATTGATTAGTACAATGATACTCGAATAGTCCTTCTAATCTGATATAATAAACAAAAAAGAAAAAAAAGAAAATGTGTAAAGAAATAAACCCCTAAAAACCACAAGAAGTATGTGGGAATTTATTCAATAATGGAATTAACTGCCCTATGCATACATATTTATTTGATTATTACCATTATACTCGAATATTCCTTCCGATCTGATATAATAAACAAAAAAGAAAAAAAAGAAAATGTGTAAAGAAAACCCCCCTGAAAACCATAAGAAGTATGTGTGAATTTATTCAATAATGGAATCAACTGCCCTATGGACGATATAAATAGACACACAACTGCATATATACCAGGTAAATAGAATAAATTACCAAAGTGACTTTTGTCATTGCCAAATATAATCCAGCATTTTCCATGGCTTTTAGCGCTGTAGTTTATCCAGTTTTGTACTCTTTTTCTGTTCATTTAGTTAAAATTGTTTTACGCTATATTCACAACCTCTAATACTACATGAAATATAAATCCCTCGGAATATAGATCATCTCATACGATTATAGTTGTGGCTATTGAGTTAGACCGGTGTAACACGCAAATTAAAACCGTGAACATTTGCGCTCACTAAGTGATGGAGCTGTACAGTATTTCATAACTGAATAATATTACATTAATGGAGAGGATTTTTTACTGTAGAATATTGCAAAATCGAAATTATTAAATCGACAGTTTATCATTGTTCCAAAGTTAGCGTTAAATTATAACACTATGGCGGTTTATATAGCACCGCTTCATCGTGAAATGATAACCTGTACAGGTTTAAAATTTCATTAAATTTCGTCTGAAGTGATAGTGCTGTACATTATAACATTTTCGCATCTCCGTTTAAAATGTTAGAGCTGTGCAGTATCTTATCACTTCTATTATAGCGCATCTGATGGAAATTATAACGCTTCGTAATGATATGTTACTGCACTTCCGCCGGAGCGATAAGAAAATAAACAATGTATGTCAATATAATTACACCTAAAATTTCGATCTCTCCGACCAACAGAACCCATGTTTGTTCTGCATTCGAATCAAGCATGCATTTATAGATTAGTAACATCCCAATATCAGTTAGAACCAATATTCTGTTAGCTATCTACTAACGGCACAGCAGTATCGGGACAGTGTGCTTCGTTCGTCTGCCCGCAATAAGTGGCCTGTTAGGGACAGATAAAACGTCGTTAATCTGCGCTAACAGGGCAAAGGGGGCACACCAATCGACCTTTTTTATTGCTGGAGCATGCGAAAGAGATTGGACGAACAGAAATAAAATAACAAACCCATTCACCTATAATTTTTGTGATCAAAATCGATAAAGTTATTAAGTATACGGTTCGTGTGTAGAGAAGGGTTATTTGACACATATTACGTCGTAAGGGTTAACTTAATGCTCGTTTACAGCAAACAGTCATGTTGTCTGTCTTTACTGTATGGTCAGCGTCTATTGTGGTTTCGAGAACGACACAATGGCACGCGTGCTCAGAATAAGATAGCGGCCATCAACAAATCCCATACTATGTGTCAAAATGTATGAGTGGAAGTAAAATACAGCAGTAAAGGTTCGCAATCGATCTGTAACTGAACAGATAGCCGAAACGTTTTTATATAACGGGAATGTTGTATATTTATTGCATTAATCGAAACAAAAATGTAATCTTCCTTTTTTACTACACTTCTTCTGGTTTTGAAGACGATGCACTTTCTACGTTCTATGTTTAACCTACTCCAGGTACTCAAGTTTCCTTCCAAATTAAGACACCCCCCCCCCCNNNGGTACTCAAGTTTCCTTCCAAATTAAGACCCCCCCCCCCCCCGCGTTAACATCCGGGGCCAACAAGAGTGATTTAGATAAGTTAGGTGTATAATTGTTGTAAAATAAATAAAGTTTATATTCATATTCACATAAATAACTGTTATTCAGTGAATATACCCATGTCATATTTTATTTGTTTGCGTAATAACTCTTGTAATATGAACTATCAGCCCTGTGATTGGTTGTAAGTTTCAGTTGTTTCAATTTTGATGTCACGCATCGGACAGGTACATGACGTCACAAACTTACGCACTGGAGTCAAAATGGTGGTTATTTTACATTGAAGGGTTGTAGATGAATTATCGTTTTACACGATTAAATGCCACAAATCGTCATGATGTGATAAAAAGGATCTTTCACTTGTTTTCCTTTCATATGAAATTTATGGAACTCGTCACAATTTTTCCATTTTAGTTCGCGAAGTGCTCGCTAAATTAAAAAAAATAAGACTCGTTTTATAATCTCACATGAAATGGAAACACATGTTAGATCCTATATTCCTATACTAATGTCTTGTTCCATGGTGTAGCATTTCAAATAAAAATTTAAGCCACTTTTCGATAGTTAGCGATTGAGTTAACAGTAGGACCCAAACTTCAACAGTAGGTATGTCCAAATAATTACAAAATCTTCGCCTTGATATTCAATATTTGTAACTATAGAACATGCACCTTAAAACATGTATTTATGTAATGACATGTATTTAACACCAATTGTCTGAAAGCAACTTTAACGAGTGCTTTCAAGTAAATAAAATGTAAAAGAAAGCTGCTCAGGGTTGTTACTGTCCACGAGAGTCCCGAGGTGATTTATATGATCTTTATGGTCTTAAAAAGTATGTCACCGTTATTGTACCTTCATATTAATACTTTTTTTCGATTTCTTTTTAATTTTACCGAAAACATTATATTTTTTCTTTTGAATTATACTTTTAAAAAGTGTAATCTAATTATTGAATCTATGACATTATTCTACCTGTTGACTGTATGTATTAATATCATCATTCTACTTTATTTACTGTTTGTGTCGAGAAAGTGATATTCTTCTTTCAGGAATGTGTTTCTCAGTATCAATTTTCCACTTTGAGTACGATTTGTAGCGAAAGCATTATCTAGGACATAAGAAACAGCTAATTTCGATAATTCGACGAGGTTAAATAAATCAGAACAGACTTAATAGACAAATGATAATAGGCAGCCAATAAACATGAAACTATTTGTTTCCATATGTATTATCCATGTACAAAGGTGTACCTGGTGATGTTGAATGTTTCAGAATGAAACCCTGTGGCGTTCGAAGTAAAGGGTCGTACAAGTCCCACACTTAGGTACGTACACACAACCACAGTACACATTTCACACGTTAAAGAGTGCTTTAACAACATTAAAATCATGTTTATCACAATGCAAAATTATATGGCACTTTTACATATATATATATATATATACATATTTACAAAATTGTTACATTGTATCACATTGTGCTGAAAAAATAATATGATGCTACAATTTCATGTCGACATTGCCAACCTGTTACCACACATTCAATATGATATTCCCGTTAAGAATATTTTGTTTCCTTCCTTTGTTTCACTGATAGCAAAATTGATACTTATGTGTATTTCAAAAGTAAAAATATAACTGAAGCTTAATAATCATCATTTTATTAAAGTTTGTCTGTATTTTTATAGTCGAACTCAAACATGCATCTGAGGTTGGTACTATCGTTTGTATCATAAAAGTCTAACTCAGACATATATCTGAGGTGCACACTATACAAAATGTAGTCTGTATCATATAAGTATAACTCAGACATGTATCTGAGGTACGCACTACACAAAATGTAGTTTGTATCATATAAGTATAACTCAGACATGTATCTGAGGTGCGCACTATACAAAATGTAGTCGGTAACATATAAGTCTAACTCAGACATGTATCTGAGGTGCGCACTATACAAAATGTAGCCTGTATCATATAAGCATAACTCAGACATGTATCTGAGGTGCGCACTATACAAAATGTAGCCTGTATTATATAAGTATAACTCAGACATGTATCTGAGGTGCGCGCTATACAAATTGTAGCCTGTATCATATAAGTATAACTCAGACATGTATCTGAGGTGCACACTATACAAAATGTGGTCTGTATCATAAAAGTATAACTCAGACATGCATCTGAGGTTGGTACTATCGTTTGTATCATAAAAATCTAACTCAGACATATATCTGAGGTGCACACTATACAAAATGTAGCCTGTATCATATAAGTATAACTCAGATATGTATCTGAGGTGCGTACTATACATAATGTAGTCAGTAACATATAAGTATAACTCAGATATGTATCTGAGGTGCGTACTATACAAAATGTAGTCAGTAACATATAAGTATAACTCAGACATATATCTGAGGTGCACACTATACAAAATTATACAAAATGTAGTCTGTATCATATAAGTATAACTCAGATATGTATCTGAGGTGCACACTATACAAAATGTAGTCGATAACATATAAGTATAACTCAGACATGTATTTGAGGTGCGCACTATACAAAATGTAGTCTGCATCATATAAATATAACTCGGACATGTACCTGAGGTGCGCACTATACAAAATGTAGCCTGTATTATATAAGTATAACTCAGACATGTATCTGAGGTGCGTACTATAGTCTGTATTAAAATAGTAGAACTCAGAAAGGTGACTGTGGTGTGAATTTTACCTGAAGCCTATTCTCCTTTTTCCTGGGCTGAAAGATTTTTAAAAATAAATTTTGATTAAAACTAGTAAATAAACATAGTTTTTTGCCTTCAAAGATATCCTCGATTGTCCTAGCTAAGAGAGATATTGACGTATGTTTCACGAAGATTCTATTCTTTTATGCCAGGGACATTTTCGAACATTTGTTATTGCGCAATGTGCTGTCAGCAAAACAAGTAGAAGTTCACAATACTTTCACATTGACCCTACCGCCAACATATATCTTCATGGAAATTGTGGAAAACAGAAAAGAATGTAGTATCGTACTAGATATCGGGAAACATGTTACTCGTTATTTCTTTTTGACATTTATTCAATTCAAAATTACATGGATAATCAATAATGATGCAAGATGGGATGCAATTGTACTATTCAATGTAAAATACTTTTTTCAATCACATCAATGACACAGATACATTTTGTTTACATATCCATTCTCTGATCTAAGTTATATAATTCTATACTCTAATGCACATCTAGTAAATATACACACGGTGATGTGTTTACCTGCTTTTAATTGTGTTGTCCATTGCTGAAATATTGTGTTAAATACACGTTAGATTGAAAATACACAGACTTCTCTCATGACAACTGTCCATCATAATAAACTGTAGGAAAATGTTCATCTGCATGAATCTCTGATATGTAAATCTAAAACATCACCAGGCATATATTCTTATCAAATAAGATAGCTTTTTTTACCAAAAGTAGCACCCTTTAAATGTTCATACTCATTCACAACAGTCATTCTTGAAATGTCATTTTTTTTACGTTAATTACTCATTCTTAATACTATCGTTTGATTTATTCAAGGCAGACAATTCTTCCATGGATCTGTAAACGATTAGTAAGTTAAATTAGATTTATAGAAAGTAGTATGCACTCTTGATATAGACGTTTGTAGTTTTCTAAAATGTTAAAGCTATATTCATTTTTACAATATAACCAGTGAGAAATAAATATGATATTTGTTTGTGCCACGAAGGTATTAAGTTTATGTGCACTATGTACATACAGAAAACAATAGTTATTTTCAATAAGATTAATCAGTTTGGAAATATGTGATATTAAAGTTTAATTTTTACACAAACAATGTACGTATTGAACGTGTCGCAACGTTTCAAGACCTACTGGTCCCTTTTGTCAAGCTATCCAGTCATAGCTTTACAAAGGGACCAGTCGGTCTTGAAACGTTGCGACACGTTCAATATGTACATTGTTTGTGTAAAAAGTAAAACTATTATATCAAAACAATAGCTAGTTCATCTTGACCAAACTGTAAAAGTATTTAAACAATTCTGAACTTTAGGCGATTGGCTTCCTTCAGAATTGAAAAGACTAACTAAATACGATTTCAACAACTCGGGGAGAAGTTTGATGTACATCAGTATTTCAGGACTGTGTTTGTCTTTTTATCTCTCATCTTTTTTTGTGATGTGATTTGAACCATCTGCAATACGTACAATCCAAATCAGCAAACTATTCTCGCAGCCACTACTCCTACAGTACTTTTCAATAATGCGGAAATATGTACAAAGATCAAGAATGAGGTCTGACACAATTCAATTCCTGTTATAGTGAAGAACACAGACATGTGTCACATTTAATGTAACCTTTAGAAATGAATAGCAAACCCACCATTTAGCTTTTTCAACCACATCCAGGAAATTTCGGTTCAATCGTTTTGTCTTTGCCATGTCAGCCAGTTTGTTTCTCTGTTTTAGAAAAAAAAATGTATTACTCACCACAAATAATTCAGATTTGGTAATGGTATACAATGTTTAAACATTTAAAGTAAAATAAGAGAATACCAAAATGTCAATTAATCCATAATTCAAACTTAGATAAAACGTGGGCAAAATATGAACAAATGGGAGATTTACATAAAGATTAGCGTAAGGTAAATATCAGTAAATTATAAATTGAATAAGCTCAAAAGGACAATATTGGAACTCTATGAGACAACACTAGGAACACAAAGAAACTAAAATAGAGTCACAAAAAACTGGAAGGGATACCTGGTGGTCATGCAGGGTCAAAAAACCTATAGCAAATATGTTTGAAGTCATCTTGAGTAATATTACTTCATAAGATACCTAATATGTCTTTGATTAAGACAGGCACTCATAATAGTATTTCTATAGTATGACATCAGTGTTTAGTATACCTAGTCTATCACGTCAAACCATAAGGGAATGTGTTTTCGTGTCAACCTCCGTGTAATATAAGCACCAAATAATGGATAATCCAATTATTTACTTTAGACTGTACTTTTGCGCGTGCAAGCATATATTCTCGTAATGCCTCAGTTTTATTTCATCAACAGGCCACGCGCAGCTGTCACGTTACCCCTTACTCGATAAAGGAAGCTTGTCTATGACCAGTCACTCATTATTTGTTTACATTCACAACTACGAAATGCTGTTGGATGAGCGCTCTACGAGCATGATCTATTATCAAATAGAACAGGCACGCGCATGTCTATTGTTCAATAATATATCATAGCCAACCAATGAAGAGTGTTTTGAACCACGGCCGTCGAGGGTAGTTAATAAAACATGGTACTCACGCGAATGGTGCTTTTCATAAAGAGTTTCGAGAATTCCCTGTTTTTCACAATACCGATCATTTCTTTAGCTGACTCATTGGCATTTACCAATTCTGCACTCGTCAAAATACGGTGCAGTCTCTGAAAAGATATAAATTTGGAAGAATAAGTTAATGATACATGTCAAGAAAATTCTTTCCCTAGGAACATAAACAAATTCTCTCACGAATGGGACATTGACTTTAGTTAATACAATTATAACGTGTAAAACACACATCATTGCTAGCAATCAATTAGCGCAGTAAACACTGTAAATAACAATTATAAAGAGTTAATAAAACATGAGTTTTAGGTAGTCTGTTTCTTAAAAGGATGACTGAGTCACCATAGATAACAAAGCATTTTTAATAGCTCTGGTGGGAACGGATATTAATCATTTGACCATGTCATCGATACCCTTGTGTCATTATAGATATATTAGTCTTGCTTACTGAATAGCATAGCTTTAGATAGCATGTTGTATTTCTTTGATTCATTGTACTATGTCTACACTGTTAACAATGACGTGTTCTGTGAATTTGACATAAAAAAGGTCATATATACATTCGACGACAGCTTTAATTCATACAATTCTAACTAAATACGTGCTTCGTTGAACGATCTGATAACACTTATTGATTTCGTATATATAATTCTCTTTATTGTAACAATGCGTTGATATTTTGTCATGCCGTATATTGTATACAAATATATTTACCTAAAGTAACTCTACTAATAAATGTAGCATATAAAACACAATACCTGACTAAAAAACATCAGATGCGAACTCTTCATACAACTCTTCGGGGATTTTTTGCGGAATCGGGGAACAAGGTTTCTGTAGATAGCATGCTCTACAAAACACAGAATTATTCCGAATACAATTCCTACAGACAGCATGACGAATAGTCCTGCGTGATGAAGCACTTCTAATCGGGACTCCTCGGAAGTTATTCTCTGTTTGTAACACTCCGCGTCAGCAAAGTGCACGTCAATCAGATCGTCGATGTAACCAATTTCATGGTACTCTTTAATTTTCTCTGACAGGGGAATCTACATGAAGGAAAAAGAGTGTGTTTCTTTTAGAGATAATTAGTTATAGAGATACCTTACATCTATATTGTCATTTAGACAGCTTACGACTTTATTGCAGACAGAATATTGGTATGGAAAGAAGATGTTTATTGATTTTGGGATTGATAGTATTCCATTTATCCAATATTCATATCTTGAAGGAGAGCAGAAGAAAATAGATTTGTTCAATATATCCATTTTGCACATTGATACGTCTGTTTTTTTCTCTTTTCTTATAAATTGAATTATTCTTGAGGATGTCTTTCAGGAATTAGGATGAAACTGTTTAACGATTCCTTAATGCTCCTGTGTCACTATAAAACAAAGCGCAAGTTCTAACCAACTTTTCGCTCAATTCCCATGGGAAATTTCGGCAAAGACGTAATCGATTTTAAAATCTCGGAATGGAATCATTCCTTCTTGAATTTAGTCTTGAGTACACTTAACAACGTTAGATGTCGAACACCCCCATAAACACTAAATCAAGTGTAGCTAACACTGCACTGCACTGGTTCTGTGGAATAGACTGTCATAATGTAGTTCATGTTTTCATTAACGACGTTCGTGTACCTAGACGTTTGAGAAACATATTCTCCATACTTCATGGTATATTTCATATTTTGATTAATATATCAAAAGGAACAATGCTAACAATAACCTCTCCTTTTTTCTATCATTCAAATCCATTGTTTACAGAGGAGGCACGGTAGTCTAGTGGTAGGACGCCGGGCTCGTGACCGAAGGGTTGTGGGTTCGAGTCACGGCACGGCACTGTGTTGTGTCCTTGAGCAAGCTACTTTACTCCGCTTGTTCCAGTCTACTCAGCTATAAATGAGTACGTGGTTGGGCAGTGCTAGAACTGTAGATTGCTAGCTGTGAGCGCCGAAATGACAGCACCGGCTGTATGCTCCCGGGGAGTTGAGCAAGATATTGGCTGGTTGCAAAGGCCCCATAACCATGGATAATAATTTGTGAACCGCTTTGAAACGACCTACGAACTAGGTTGTGATAAAGCGGTATATAAGAACATTGATTTATTTATATTGTTATTTTGATTATTATGATATTTTGTTTAACTTTCATTCCCATTTGCATACCTTTAAAGGCGAGTCTTTAGCGATACCTATCCCGTATCCGTCCTCCCCAAACGTTTGCGACAAGAGTCGGAGCTGACACTTTGGGTCTAGGTTGCCCCTAGCGTACTCTAGGATAGGATAGTCACCTAAGTAAGCATCCAGTTGACCGGCTCTGTAACGTTCAGATTATAATAATAATAATATTCAACATTTGATATATCATCCTATTTAGCTACCATAAGCCACGCTAAAGCGCTTTGTAGATATACAATTAATACAATTAGCATATACATTAATCAATACAATTTTGAGGAATTCGCAGGAGCTGCCTTATTAGGTGAATCCAACGGCATCAGTTATAGTGCTATCTCACTTGAATGCTACAGCACAGATACCGCAACATCCACCCCAGGCAAATTTAACCTCCACTTTGGTTATTATAGTACAATATTATATTGATGATCAATAAAGTATGCATCCTGGTAGCTGGATCTGTAAAATATCAAACACAGTATGTAACAATGGTATGTAGGTAATCACCGTACTTAGATCTTAGTTACAGACTCTGTTCTGTATGATGTTCAGATAATTAAAACTTACATTGAGGTAAAAACACAAAACTATATTGTAATGGATCCCACACTCAAAGTGTCACTTAGAACTCTGGATAATAGCGCTTTGTTGCTATATTGGTATAACATCAGCTTATTTAGAGATAATCGAAGAATTCCAATTCACCGTAGAATTTCAGATAATCAGTGTATTTAAAATAATTAAAGCATTCAAGTATACCGGGTATTCAAGACAATCGTGTATCCAAGATAATCGTGTATCCAAGATGATTGGGTATTCAAGATAATTGAGGTTTTAAGATAATTGGGTATCCAAGATAATCGGGTATCTAAGATAATCGTGTATCCAAGATGTTTGGGTTTTCAAGATAATTGGGTATCCAAGATAATCGGTCGGGTATCCAAGATAATCGTGTATCAAAGATAATTGGGTATCCAAGATAATCGTTTATCCAAGATAATCGTTTATCAAAGATAATCGTTTATCAAAGATAATCGTGTATCCAAGATAATCGTGTATCCAAGATAATCGGTCGGGTATCCAAGATAATCGGTCGAGTAACCAAGATAATCGGTCGAGTGTCCAAGATTATCATGTATTCAAGATAATCGTGTATCCAAGACAATCGTGTATCCAAGATAATCGTGTATCCAAAACAATCGTGTATCCAAGATAATCGGGTATCCAAGATAATCTGTCGGTTATCCAAGATAATCGTGTATCCAATATAATCGGGTATCCAAGATAATCGGTCAGGTATCCAAGATAATCGGGTAACCAAGATATTGTGTATCCAAGATAATCGTGTATCCAAGACAATCGTGTATCCAATATAATCGGGTAACCATAATAATCTGGTATCGGAGATAATTGAGTATTCAAAATAATTCGGTATCCAAGATAATCGTTTATCCAAGTTAACGGGTATTCAAGATAATCGGGTATTCAAGATAATCGGATATCCAAGATAATTGAGGTTTTAAGATAATTGGGTATCCAATATAATCGGGTATCCAAGATAATCGGGTAACCAAGATATTGTGTATCCAAGATATCGTGTATCCAATATAATCGGGTAACTAAGATAAATTGGTTTCCAAGATAATCGGGTATTCAAGATAAACTGCGGTTTCGGGATAATCAGGAAGTGGGATTAGAACAATATTTCTTTATAAATATCATAAGTGATGACTGACGGTCTAGACGCTATGTTACTTAAATGTGTATATGATCGACGTAAATATTGTAGGTCGTGTTCGATTGTCTGCTACGCAATGCAAGGTAATGAACGTTTACACGTTGTGTACACATGAATGTTTTCAAGTTACATAACTTTGAATATTTAGAAATGATTTTGTGAGTTCGCTCTAACAAGATAAAAATCAGTGTGATTTTAGACACCGGTGACAGGTCGAAAACAAAAATATCACTAGACACACGAGGTAAGAAAACATATATGTAAAACAAAAATGGTAACTCGATGTTAGAAATAAAAATATCACATTTCATTTCTTATGCTGTTCAATTTCGAAATCCAATTCTTTAAAATATAAGCAAAAATCTATAGTTGCGAAAAAACATTCACAGTACATGGTATAGGGATTAATACACATGTCTTAAAACCATTGATCGCGAAAGAAAACGGAAAGGCATTTTCATCAGAATTACCTGATTTGAAAACCGAGAAATTTATCATCATTGCATTTAAGTTGAAATGTAATGTTTGGTATAATGGTATGTAATCGACAGTTTTATGTGTCTTTCTACTTTAGAACGGTAAGTTTGTGATGAGACTAGCATCTCCACACTCTGATTCAAAGACATTTGTGTTCAAACACGCAACCGGTTCATAAATAATGGTCGTTTATGGTCGATCATTCTAACGTGTTTGTTGATGGATGTGGTTAAAAGAGTAAAGTAAATTGTCATTTAACGACAAATATGCACGTGATTTACATGTCTCTTACACCATGACTACAGCCCGTATTCATAACACATTCTGATATTCAAACAATAAGTATCTGCTCAAAACAGCCTACTTGGAACTGTTTGCACTAAAGCAATGTCAAAGCGTAAATTCTAGACATCTATATAGGTTTTCAGCCAGAGGTCTATTGAAATAGGTAAATAGGGATATGAAAGTAAATCGTGTCTTTTCAGGTTTATTTCGAATACTTCAAAAAACATATAGCAAGTAAGTATTACCTAGTAAGCATAAATCAGAAAACATGTACTGACACGCTGTGGCATACAATGGCCTCATTTTCACGCTGCTGAAGTTAACAGTCACTAGCTATGCTTTATTTACATTTTTGCATGTTTAATATATTCATCTAACAGTTTCATTGTACATTAATGCTACACCACAACAAAGCCATGTTTGACCTTAGCTGGGGAGTTTTAGCGAGTCGACGTTGAACATTACTTGAATTGGAGTTTTATAATATTGGAATCTTGGTACTACGAATAAGCGGATCATACTGCATTGTGTGTCATTAGCTTGAGATCATTTTTGATGTAACATTACCAATTAGGAATTATAATTATTCAATGTGAAAATGATACGTGTCTTTTCACTAAACATTGCTTCCTTACTTTTGCAATTATATGATATATTAAACTGTTTGACTTTGAAAGACTTCTAGTGAATTGTATCTTTTGTAATTGTACAATTATTGCTCACATGAGCTTTATTTTATTGCATTATTTAAAAAGCTTGAAGCTGGTAGAATATGGGTTTGTTGAATGTAACAAGTAACGCATTCAATCATCTATTCAAAGAATGTCAGTACTCCCATCATTAAGTTGTATGTTGAAAAACTGTAATACGGAAGCGTGATTAACTAGTATTTCATCTTTGAAGACTTGACTTAAAGGCAGAGTTTCTCTGTTATTAACAAACAGACTAGTTCCTTTGAAAGCGATATTGCATAACGCAGATCGTTAAGTGTCGACGGGACATCAAGGACTAGAAATATAGACTTATGTAAGATTCCAAGCTGCTTATTCTTTTGGAAAGTTGGACCTGATAGGGTTTAAACCACCTTGAAAGTGTATCGAATCTAGCATGTTCACGTTTTGCCCATTGTCTGTTGTAGTCTGCAGCTGGACCCATTAATTTCTTGGAAATCTCATTCCAATTGGTGGTTTGAGTGAAGGAATATCGTGGTGCATTGAGCCCTTCATGAAAACCTTTCGTAGCTTTATATTATAGATAACAATAAGTAGCTGGACCATATTGTATAGCGTTCAAGAACAAGAACAAGCTTAAGGAAAAGTATTCTATCGCAATCTAAATTCAGCAGTTGTAGCTTAGTTTTGTCAGCTTAGCAACAATAGATTAAGAATAACTACGAAATAATTGAGGTACTTTTTGTATGTGAAGTGCAATGATATGTTAGCTTAGAGGGGTTAGTGGTGTATGATGCTACTGATTTAAATGGCATCGAACCTCTTACTGGCAAATTCGACATTCATACCATATTGTTTGACCCGATGTTTGTAACTACCACAACTATTCGTACAAAGTTTCCAATCTAGTATCTAGTAGTCGCCAGGATCAGCTTCAGCTTAACTCTCTTGCATTGTTCGTAATAGAGAACAAGGGGCAGCTATTCGTTCTTCTTGAGTTCCCATAAGGTCTTCAAACGTAACATTGTGTTCGGTTGGACTGCTCTACTGTCGATATCCATGGCTACGATTACGTCTCCTCTGAGGAGTGAACACAGACATTATATGTGTATTATGCATTTTGTACAGAACCTCTACGGTCATTACATCCGTATGGCGCAGCAGTGTCAATAAGTGTAATGTAGTGTTCTGCGCTTTACGGAGATCAAAGTGTAGGTATATTTAAAGTCTAATACATTGTCTCCACAATATAAACACTCCTGCACAGAACTGAGTGGCCTGGGAGGATGCGAGACATACCCTGACTCTTTCCACCGTTCACTGCTAAACAATGGTCATTGGTTCCTTGTCTGTTGTAAACAAACAACACTCAGCATAATTGTAAGTTGGAGTTATGATTTCTATAGATGTAAACAGGATTGCTACACAATGCAGATGTTACTAGGTTTGATTACCTTTCCACCGTTCACTGCTAAACAATGGTCATTGGTTCCTTGTCTGTTGTAAACAAACAACACTCAGCATAATTGTAAGTTGGAGTTATGATTTCTATAGATGTAAACAGAATTGCTACACAATGCAGATGTTACTAGGTTTGATTACCTATGTAGTTGAAAGAAGAATGATTGGTAACATATGTATGTATTTGTAAGAAGGATGATTGGTAGCCTGTGTAGTTGTAAGCAGTGCTGTAGTTGTTAGAAGGATTGGTAACATATGTAGTGGTTAGAAGGATTGGTAACCTATGTAATTGTAAGAAGGATTGGTAACCTACGTAATTGTAAGAAGGATTGGTAACATATGTAATTGTAAGAAGGAGTGGTAACATATGTAGTTGTAAGTAGGACTGATAACCTGTGTAGGTGTAAGTAGGACTGATAACCTGTGTAGGTGTAAGTAGGACAGATAACCTATGTAGGTGTAAGAAGGATTGGTAACCTATGTAGGTGTAAGTAGGACTGATAACCT